GAATGAGCGTTGATGGGAGGTTAGGCAAAGAGGATTTGGCACTCTATTTTTAACATTTAAATAAAGCAAATCAATTACCATATCGCAAAAAAAAAGGAGCTATTGGTTAGTGACACTTATGTAGATTTTCTGTAGCATGTAAAAGCGGCCTTTATTTTTCTAAGCGATATTTTCTGCTTAGAGTCAAATTCTCTTCGTGCAGCTTACAAAAATAAATACTTGTATTTTGATAAGATCATAATAGCTCATTAGAAGAGGCTGAATTTGGACCTAGACTAAAACCTAACACCACAGGGCTGAGCATGCTTACTTGAACCTATAATGTTGCTAGTTCTCGCTCTCTGGGGAAGGAGAGGACTAGGGGAGAGGATTCAGCCTTCTTAATTGTGAACCTCATTAGTGACGGTTGCTAGGCAAAACACACACCTACTTTCAGTGCATATGAAAGAGATAAACAATACGTCATAGACCATAATGACTCTGGTGCTCAGGGCGACCTTTAATTATTATATTTTTGTTCTCTTATACCTTAGTTATTAATGCAGAAAAAAAAAATAGTTTTGTGTGTGTGGACTGCAGCAGATTTGTAAATCGCTTTCCATTTTTTGATGTCTAGATCGTATTTCCTTCTAATTGTTGCTCGCCTCATTCAGTTCTCTGTGTGCCCATTGGTAAATACTATTCGAAACCTAAAATGACAATGATTGTATTAGCAGCTTAGTATTCTGTTATTACTTTTAATTAATTTTATTAGTGTAAAAAGCCATGATCCTGTCAAAATGTTAGTAACAACTCGCAAGAGGAGTCCCATGGAAACTGGTGTGCGTGGCCTGGCCACGCAGCCATACCTCAAACCACGGTGGTTTCGGGAATTCTAGCTCTGTAAGAGCTGAAGATGTATTTGATCCCAATGCTCTTAATTTTTGGTCAGCCCTGAAGCAACCAGGCAGTTGGACTAGATGAAATTTGTAATTCCCTTCCAACTGAAAAATTCTATTCTATTCTATTCTATTCTATTCTATTCTATTCTATTCTATTCTATTCTATTCTATTCTATTCTATTCTATTCTATTCTATTCTATTCTATTCTAAATTCTATTCTATTTCTATTCTAATTTTCTCATTCTAATTCTATTCTATTCTAATTTACTTAAAACCAGGTTACCTAAGAGCTGGTTTGTATCTTTACAATGGTGTATTTCACAGTGCCAGCGAAGTGATATTTAAATCTACATTACTATTTTGGGCTTTGTGGGAGAATAAATACATGTGTGCACGTGTACAAGCGCAGCTGCAATTGTGTATGGGTGAATCAGAGGCTGATGGGCTCCAGAAAGATAGTATTTCACAATTCTGGATTTTCAGACACACTTTCCATTCTCCTCTTCATCTCAGACTATCTTCTTTTAGCAGTTCAGGCAAGAAGTCAATCACATTTGAGTCAGTCTGAAGAAAAACATTTTATGCTGTTTTTCTCATACAAACCCCCTCCTGCCGTAATCTGCAGTAAGGCCCAGCCACAGGAAATTGACCTCACAGTAAATTCTTTACAGATTTGGTCATGTTTTTACCATCCACTTAAACTTGCATACATAACCTGAGACTGTACCTCTGGATCAAGGAATATGACAAGCCAAAATAAAATCAAGTCAAATTAAATAGCAAGAAAAAGCTGCAAGCAAAACAAGACTGGAAAAAAATTAAAATAAATAGAAAAAGATGAAAAATTGGTTGTGACTGCAAAACTGTAAGTATTAAATAAAGAAAGAAGTCAGAAGCAAATTCAGAAGCGCCCATATTCTAGTTGACAAGGGCTGAGAAATACTAATGGACTTTTTTAATGGGTGGTTTGATGGATGAGAGCAGGGATTATGTAAAAGTAAATGTAGTAGTGTATCAACATAAAGTACGGTGGTGGAAAAAAAAAAAAAAAAAAAAAAAAAAAAAAAAACATGTAAATGTGTGCCTACCATTTTCCAGATAAGAAGGGGCCGTACCTTCTGAGGGGTCAAGGCGGCGAGCCCGCCTCCCGTGTTTGGAATTGTTGTGTACAAACATGTTGTCTGAGACAGCCAGCACGTGGCCATCCACATTGACTGTTGTTGATACAACAACCTGAAAAAAAAAACACCAAAAAACACAAGTCAAAAAAAAAAAAAAATCCTGCGCATTTTCACAAACACAGACACAGAATGAGATCTTTTAAGACGAAGCAACATCACAGCCTCTTACTTTTCACTTTAAATGAAGTGGATGACAACTATGAATAGATCTTTGTTTATGTGGCTAACACGGGTGATTTTTAACTCACAATTGTTTCTCTTCAGAACCTGCTACACTAATTAGAGTTTAATCTCCTATTATGCTAACAAATGAATTCAATTCAGGGAAATATTCTTCTAGCCATTAGTTTCAGAAACACCCCTCTAGCCACTCATTTTAAAAGCTGATGTTTTGATTGATCTGTTGATATATTGATTAGATAGTTTATCTAATTAAAATTTGTTCACTTGAGACTGTCTTCAAATGAAGGGTTGTGAGGATTCCAAATAAAAAAGGCTTAATAAATCAGAAACCATCGTAACTCCCCATTTTTTCTTCAGTAAATGATCTCCAGGTCAGTTTTACAATTACATTTAATGTCTGATAATGAACTTTTTTGCATCTGAAAAGACCGAGTTGAATATGAATAGTGAAAGTGTTTTCAATCCATGAAAAGTATCCCTTCTCAAGTTCATTTGGATGGTGATTGACCCTGGTATGTCAATGGAATTTCCTCTTTTATTTTTGAGTGAAAGGCTCCTATTCTTGTGTCCAGGTTCAGAGTCCGGCCATAGAAGAGATGATGGATAGGGCCTTCTTTGGCTTCCAGCTGCTTCTCAGTAGAAAATGGAAAAGGAACATATGCAAAACGCACAACCTTCCCGATAAAAACACCTACACAATGGAGTTGTGAAACTCCTTCCGGAAACGATATCGCATGAACACAAGCCAAAGAGGAAACCGTGAGATGCGCCTGTGCTTGTGTGGAACGCAGCTTCGTTGCTATTATCCCAGATAGACATTTACATCTTATTTAAATACTCCAGCATGGGCCCTGTGGTGTGGGTTCCAGATTTGCTAAACGAAGGAATCACTGAAGCGTTTTCTTTGGGGTTTAACATCAGTAGAGTCCTTAACGTCAACAGCTAACTTAGGCCTCATCCACCCTACTGTAGGTGATGGCAGCAGCCAGCACACATTTTATCTTTCGTCCTCCGCTTATTTTACTTTCAGATATAACAAAAATGATTGCCGGGGGTCTTGCACCAGCTCCTACACCCAAACGTTTAATGAACAAAAATGGAAGGGGGAAAAACTACCCTCCCTTTGCACAGAGCTGCTCCAAGGCATCAGAAGAGAATTCTTGCCTGCTTCTATGTTTTGGATCACCTCTGATCCTGTTTCTTATTCACAACCCATAATTAGCTCTCAGCTATCACAGCACCTTTTCAGTGTATCCTGCCTCCTCTGAGACAGCCATCTGCGGTACCCTTCGGAACAGCCCAGGGGCAGTTCTCTGCCAGGCTGCTCCGCTTCCTTGTCTTTCTCCTCCCAGAAGTGGACACTTTCACTCTTGTCAACATCCACTTTGGAGAGCGCTGAGGTTGCACACTCACCTCGGCCGCAGAGCTGCTGCCGGGACACTGGGCTACCTGCTTTCACTTTTAATGAGATTCGCAGACTTTAAGAAATATTGCAAAGCATACAAGTGTGATTTGCAGCAAAGATTTCTGGATTTGGTTCCTAGAACACGGTATATTAAAAAGACAGAGAAAGGTGTATATAAAAATGACAACTATTTTTGTTCTGTCATGTATATATAGGTCAGTCACCAAGGGAAAATACTGTAGTTCAGCAAAAGAAAGTAGACATGCTATGCTTTGTTATATCGGCTTATTCCTGCAGTGCACCTAAAGAAAGGTGCTGAGACAGTGAAACCAGTTAAAAATATTGTTCAAGATCTGACATACTGTTAAGTCCAGTTAAACCTTCTGAGAGGCAGGGAGATTAGCTAAAGAGACCCAGGAAAGTCTTTCTAGTGCCTACTGGCTCCATTGTCGACCACAAGATCACTCATGACTGATGCTTCATTTAGTCATCGGTGAGACAAAGAGGACATTTCCACTCATTCCAGGTTTGACCTTCTGTTCTGTTCAGATGGATCAATATCACCAATGCCACGTGAAGCTGAGATGCATGAAAAATGGCAGCTTGGCTCAATTGTTTTGAAGAAATATTTTTTTCCAGCTACAGATCTTTTCTGTTGGCTGGCTCAAGGGTGCTGGCTTCGCCGGTTGGTTGGCTGTGCACGAAAACAGATGTCACATGTTTTGCTATCAAGTTCAACCACGAGTTATTCTTCGCAAAAATATGGAAGTTTTGAACATCTCAGTACTACTTTATTATTAGTCTCAAATATGAATCATGGTGAAATATTTTGAAATTAAAAAGCACGTCTTTCCTAACAAGCTTTTCAAATGACCCCAAATACGGAGGAAATCATTTGTCCATCGTGTCAGCTGTCTCTCTGTAGTGTTATGATTCACCACAGGATATTTCAGAAGCTGTAAGGAGAAAGTGAAGTATTAAGCATTTTCTAACACAACTGGAATAAAAATACGTGGGTGGGACCACAACCGTTGGATTTACAAGTTGTGAATGTGAAAAGCCCCCGTGTGAGATCCAAACTTCCCTGCACTCCACGTTCACATCCGTTAGTAGGATTATGCTACTGGGTCTACATATGTAAAACCTCTGCAGGCCTGAGCACACGCCACACCACAACGCAAGGTGTTAGCACGAAGGAAAACTAGGGAAATACTTTCTGAGGAGAGACCCACTTGATTCGGCATGGATCCATCACAGGCCTCTGCAGAACTCGACGAGTCTCAAGAACCCGCATTTAAGTTAGCAGGGGAAATATAAAACACCACCAGCGTTATTTTTTTGAGGCACGCAGCATTAGAACTACACTAACTAGAAGCACTGATGCTGGTCTTTCATTAAAAAAAAAAAGTTCAAGATGAAGATGAAACTCTTTTATATACTGTTTATTCTTTAAGAGGGATCTGTACCTGGAATCTTCGCATGTCTCGTGGGTTGCCTGCATTCTTCAAACAGTTCTGATTGCACTTGAGGAAAAACTTTAGAAAGAATCTATAAAAATACAAAATTGAAATCTATTAGATTCATCAAAATGTAAATCCAATTTTTAAAAAGTTTAATAAAATTTAATCATAAATAGTTATACCCAAAAGAATACTGGTAGTGAAATATTACTTTCCTATTAGTTAATGAACTTATTTTAAAGCACAAGATCTCTGTCGTAAACAGAACATTATTGCCAGGGAAAGGCAAATTTATATTTTTAATTTTTCAACAACTACAAATGTATTGACTCCAGGCCATATCCTTAGCTCGGTGTGGGAAAGTTGATTTCAGTGACTCATTGACTTCAAAGGCAGTGACTTACACCAGATGAGAATTTGTCTCTATTTTTTTAATATGTTTTATTTTTTCACAACTTATATTAGCAGTAATGACCTCTACGTCGAAAAATTCCAAGGTAATGAATGATCAATCTTCTGAAAAAAAAACACTTGGCTTTGCCTCCGGATTGGAAACTCTCGCTATTGAAAGGGACTCAACTCCTGCTGACTCCAGGGAGATCCAGGCGGGATCTGCCCACCGGCGAGGCCCCGGTTCCCTCATTGTTTTTGAAAGGAAAGGAACATGGCAAATTAGGCTCTGTCTTACGACCTCTTCAACCTTTGCCAGCCTTTAACTGTAAGGAGTCACTCTACCCGGGGATGGGAAAGCCAGCTTATTTTTGCTGAGCGGCAACCAGCAATTATTTAGGACTAACCCTTATCATCTAGGCATCTCCCCGTAAACCCGTTTGGAGCAGCGCTGCCTCCCGGGAGCACAGCAAGCGCTTATAGGAAGGGGAAAACCTTGGAAAGATGCAAACTCCTTTATGCTGCCCTCCCATACTGGAGGAACGAGCTGATAGGGGCTGTCGCCACCCTGCAGGCTATGCCAGATGGGGGGACCCTCACCGTCCTGCCCTCGCACAGGAGAATGTTCGCAGCCTCACGCCGCCTCTTTTCTCTTTGTAGCTATGTTTTCATGCTTCATAATTAAAAAAAAATGTTCTGCGGCTCTGGTTTTCGGCTAGTGACTGGCAGCTAATGACAAGCAAGGCTCAGGACTTTCTCCTCACTCGGAGTTTATCAGATACTCCAATCCAGCAGCTGGTGCTGGCCAACATCATACACGATGAACAGCAAGGTTAGGCAGAGCTTTCACATTTAGAATACGAGCAACTATTATTTATTCATGTCAAACTTAATAAGTGACTGTGACTATTCTTGCTGTACACACCTCACAGGAGTTTCCGTGTGCCAACAGCATTCCTGGCAGGAGGCAAGCCAGGTGCCTCTTCCCTTCTTCAGCACCCAACACGGCCCAACCACGGCCGATAGAAAGTACACCCGCGACTGCACTACATCACGCTCGCTCCTGCAGAGCTGCGAGCGTCAGACAGGGGCATTATGGGAGTATCGCCATGTCGCAAACTGGTGCTTTTAATCACAGCTCTTCCTTTTCAGTTAAACCTCGAGCAGGACCCTAATATTAATACAGGAAGCAATCTCTCATATCAGAGAGGCAAGCAGGGAAACAACGAGGTTTACTGAAACACTGCACAAATAAATTGATGCTGTCAGTTCAGCTGAATGCCTGTTCCTTCAAAACTTCCTATCCCAAAATCTGCAAAGAGGTTTTTTAGCTGTTGAGCAGAAAGAGAGCTGGATTTCCACGGTGGCTGACACGATCTCCTAGCTCGGACGCTCACTTGAACTCAGGTTTTCTGGACGCTCTAACAGCGACTCCACAAAACTGCACCTTTATTAGCCACAACTTCTCCTGAATTTTACCTGCCTTGGGTTCTGTTTTGATTTTGGGGTTTTTTTGTTTGGTTGGTTGGTTGGTTTTTTTTAAAATATACTTATGATCTCCACATCAACAGAGTATAGGCTAAATGTAATGGCATTTATGCCATAACATATTTTTCTTTTTTTTCCACACCTTACACCGCACAGATTGCGATGATGTACAAGGACCAGCTGATGCCCACGTCAGTACGGGACCACCAGGCAGTGGCAAGTCAGGAGCTGGGGTGAGCCCCTCAGTGCCACAGCCAGGCTGAAGACAAGTGTCTTATCTAATTTTTTTTTTTCTGATCTCAAATGGGTGTTGTGAGGCTTATTGAGCTAATGTTTGTAAATTGCTCAGAAATTCTCCAATGAATTGTGCACTAGGAATGCTAAGTATTGCTCCTCCTGGGTTGTTTTTAACGTGAAGTGTTCATGATGAATTGTTTCTATACAGAGAGCTCCTATCCTGTCAAAAAAAAAAAAAGGGCCATTAAGCACCCTTTCACTAAACATCAACTGGAACTGGTGTTTGTTTAATTATTTGGTGAAAAGGACCCACACTTGGTGGAATTAGACCTCTTCAAGTTTACTAGGATGACCCTGAGCACTGGGCTAAACATTGAAGCCACAACGCTGGGGTGAACACAAGCAGCACTCATATTTCAGCTCTCCTCCATTCCTCGATATAATGAGATATTTTATGCTATTTTTTAATCTGTCTTCTCAGAGAGCTCATGGAGCACAGGTGATCAAGACAAGATTTTCAGAGGAAGACAACATAAGTTAAAAACAAAGTTCCCAGGCAGGGCTTTTCTTAAAGGGTGCCAGGAGAAGACAACTGACATGACCGTTCCTCTCGGCTGACCAACAAGGACCGTGGGCACTACAAACCCATCCCTACTGCAGACGGAGCAGGGCCAGACACTTCCTCTGCGAGCCCTGCGCTCCCGAGACCAGGTCTCTTGGGACACAGCAAGAACCAAGGATCTGGATCAGAGCTCTGTTCGGTCGTGTCTCAAACTTCGTTGCTGCCAAGAGAAGAAGAATGCAAGCCTCTCTAGTTTTGGCTATCCCTCCTATATTTTGTATTATACACACAAATTGTAGTCTTTTTTAATAAATACAGTCTTGCAGAACAGCCTTCCTAAACATACTAAGCTGCTCCTAAAATACCGATATGGAGAAAAATGCAATCTTCGTGATGTTTCTTTGCTCTGATTTTTTTTTTTTCATGCTGCTAGAAAGGGGGCCGCTACCACCTTAATTAAAATGTATTACCTACCACAAGACTTCACTATTTTAAGATAAAATTTACATCTTTTATTAACTCACCTCACCTATACACTTAGCTCGCGATGCCTCTCAACGCCCATCTGCCATCCGTGTACAGTAAGTCACTTGATATTCCACCCACCAATTTTTCCTAACAACCACTGTGCAATTAAACTCAACACGTTCTGTTGCGAGGTAAATTAGGCACACCTGCGGCCAGACTTCATTTGAACTGCATCAGAAAAGGACCTAACAAGGTGAGAGCGTACCACAAAGTTATAGGCCTGTCAAGCAATTAGGTTTTCACTTCTGGGACATCCGCACAGTGCAATTATGCTACACATTACAACCTGGCTAATCTTCTGAACAAATGTCATGTCTCGGAGAAGCTAGTAAAAGCAGTTCATCTGCAAATGTGTCTGCTCTTAAGCCTCCACCTTATGCACATAACAACCTACAGGAGACTTTTTTTGTGATATGAAAGATGTTTTTCCCATAGAAGATTTTTTAAGCCCTGCAAGTGCCTTTTCATCCTTTTCACCTCTTCTTAACCTTTTTGAGAGGAGGTGTTGTAGCAAATAGACCAGAAAGACTTTTGTACTTGAATTTCAACGCTAAGCAAGAAAATACTCGGTATTATAAGCACAAGCAGTGGCTTTAGCTTTGTCCAATTCAAATATTGTTTGGCTAAAGGAATATTTGTGGTGGAAAAACACCTATTACATCCTGGAAACATCACTAGTAAAGCGTATTTCCACCAGACCCCAAAACAGAAGCATCATTCATGTAAATAAACCTCAGCGGGAAGTAAAGGTTTCATTATTTTTATTTCAGATACCGAGCGTCCTGGAGACAACACCCTAAACCAAAATCTGCACTGACGATAGGTGAGATCTTCAGTAAGGGAGTCAGCCGAAACCTGCAGTGACAAGCAGTCTCCACCCTTTTACCAAATAAGATCTTCCCACAACGTCCGACTCAAACCGGACAGACGACAGAAAACTGTGTCAGCCCTGCAGGCACCGTTTTGCTTTACTCTAATAATTCTGTTTCATTGTCATCTGTGTTTCAGGTACGTGGTTAGCCTGTTCAATTAAGCTTACGGATGAGATCTTGCTATACTACCAAACACAGAATTGCTAAGATATGACAAGCCTGCTCTACTTTCATAAGTAAAAAAACCTCAGACTTGGATCATTATCTGTGATTCGGAAGTTCTTTGGAAGAGAAGCTGTCTGCAAGGGCACAACAACGCTGTTACGGGGTGGAGGCAGGAGAGAGCAGGAGAAGAGGAGACATTTGAAGTCAAATGGTAATTCTCTTCCTTTACTCGATTACCCTTTAATTGGCTTTTTCCTAAGAAATATCTGACAACCACTTTGCATATCTCTTTTCTAGAGCCTAGTAAACAAAGGATTTAATACTCTTGTTATGAAAGGAAAAATCTTTCCTCTGTCAGAAAATCTTTGGCTTTAGCACCAATAAACTCTTTATTACTGCTAAACTTGGATTTGCTTCTCAATCGCAAAGAGGCGATAAAAACTCTAACCTGTCATTAGTGCATTATGCTTAATTGTGTACAGTATGTTTCCAGTTGCATCTGTTGGCCCATTATCAAAATGACCATTATGTACACTAATTCCCTGACCCTGTCTTTATTTCCCTAAAGAGTCATAATCTTTCACAGTAGGTATCAGAGTAAATCAAGCTTGAAATATGGGCTTTATTTACTTGTTTCTCCCAGGCAGAGTCGAAGACTAGCTAAAGACACACTGCTGTAGATAAGTAGCAACTATGTTGTAATATTCTACTTGGAGAAAGGATGGAAGCTCCTGGGTGACCATCACCCTGTTTCCTTTTCTGTTTGGTTATCAGAGGTAACCCAAGGACAACAAAACATTTATATCTGGTTTGCGGTTCCACTTCAAGAGAAATAAAGCTGATGTT